TTATTTCTCCGTGGGGCCGGTGTTTCGAAACCTGGCCTATTTAAAGGGGTGGGGCCTTCACCCCCAAAATTTTTGGTGGGGGGGGGATTTGGGGGGTGGGAAGTCCACCCCTCTTAAAGGTGCTGAGGTTGAGAAACACTGCTATACCCTATCTCACTATTTCTCAATCTCAGCACCTTTAAGAGGGGTGGACTTCAACTCCCAGAATTGCTGGCTGGGGAATTCTGGGAGTAGGAGTCCATACAGCTGAAAGGCTGAGAAATCCTGCCTTGGGAATTCCAGTATTCACTGTGGGCATGTTTGCAGCCCCGTGAGGGTTTCTTGCACCTCCTTTCTTTAAGTAGCTGTCCTGTAAAAACAGGGGTCAGCGCGCACGCCGTGCCTTCAGCATCCTATCAAAGAAATTTCAAGCCTGAAGTAACATTTTCATCATTAGCACAAGCTAATATATCCCTCACCAGTTTTAACACTGGTTTCAGTTTTCTGGGGAGGTAGTTTTCCAGAGTAAGTGAGGATGATAGAATCAGCTTTCCCAACCCCGCTTTTCCCAACCTCTAATCTGATTGCTCCCAACAGCAGATGTAGAAGATTCCCTGTTCTCAGCTGCTAACCCATTCCATGGACTGGGAGTAGGTTACGCTCAGCTGTGTTTATTTGCCAACAGACTTCAATACCTGACTCGGAAAGCAATCCGGATCACAACTGTTTGTCTCGCTGCAGTACAGAGATTTTCTCTGAAGCCAGCTGGGAGCAGGTGGATAAACAGGACACAGAGGTACAGGCCAAAATCCATCTCCGGAGCCTTCTCGTTATATAAGCACATGATATACTAACGATGCTGCTGTGTGATGACTCCTAACACTGGTCTTTATACACTTTCTTCCTTGACTCTGTTGCCTCAAAAACCTTTCAATCTCTGTGCCTGGGCCAAAGAGTCGCTGCTTTCGGTTCTGCCTTTGGGGAGTGATGAAAGCCATTTTTGGATTTGCACACAGGCGGTATGTTTGGCTCTGGAAGCGTGTAGAGGGAAGACGTTTTGTTATGGCTTTCGCAGAGATCAAGCAAAGTGGGCTTTGGATTACTCTGCCAGAAGAATCTTCAGGGTTTTTTCCTCCTCTTGTCTTCTCCCTTCCAAATGCTGGAGCTTCTCTATAAATCATGTTTTGGGGTTTTTTGGCTGTTTTCTTGCTGCTTTTATGCTTATGCATTGGTGTTATATTTGAAAGCAAGGGCTCTCTTGTCTTTGTAGGTGACACGGTGGCTTCCTGATCACCTGGCTGCGCACTGTTACGGCTGTGACAGCGTCTTCTGGCTTGTCAGCAGAAAGCACCACTGCAGGTATTGTGCTTCACGGGCGGGGTGAGGGAGGGGATGAGCCCATATTGGTGCCGCCAGTGCAGTCCTTTGGAGTTACTGCTAGGCCTTTGGACCTCTGACCGGCATCCTTCCCTGTTAGAGCAGCTCCCTAGCCAAAGCATCCAGCTGTAGAGCAAGTAGGACAGCAGGCAGATGTTGTTTTCCAGTGCTTCCACTGTCACCACCAGCTGCAGCTCTCCCCGTTATTTTGCTCTTGTCACTTCGCTCATCTAATCTGTTCTTCTGCATCTCTGGCCCATGAGTAAAATTATAACACCTCTTACACTCTACCATTTCTAGACTGTACTTTCAAATGTTCAAAATGCTTATATTTGAAACATTTTCAGATCATCTTTACAGAACCCTGCAGTAATATATACCTGTATTTTATCTCCACATTGCAAAGGTGGGCGTGAGGCTGAGAGTAGTTTGCCTGAAGCAGCCCATTTGGTTCATGGTAGAAGCAACACTGAACTAGAGTCTTCCTGGATCTCTAGTTAATGAATCTGCCAATGACTCTAGTGGAATTTGTTGGGTTTGTCTGAATAGTTTTGGCCAACATTTTCTTCTGGTCGCCTTAACAACTGTTACTAGTGTCCAGAGCTCCAGACTCCTTGGTGGCTTTGTAATGAGAATTTGCTGTAAATCCTGATTTAAAGCTCATAAAGTCTTCTTAGACCTTGGATTCTACAAGCTAGTTAAAGAATAGTGCAGTCCCTCTGCTCTGCATCTGCTGTCATCCTCTTTGCTCAAGATAAATTGTGGCCTGAAGCAGGACATGGTAAATTCTCCCACCCCCATTCCACAATAACTTGAGGTGCATCCCCCATGGAAAGGGATTGCCCAGTCTTCATGAAGACAGATCCTTGGGTTTCCTAATCTTTGGCTCCTCGTGGCACTGAAACCCATTGCGTGCAACAGATGCTTCTTGGGCTAAGAACACAGCCTGCTGTACCCAGTTGAAGAAGAGGTGTCATTGTCTTGCTCTGTTAATATCAGCCACTAGGTAGACTAGACTGGAAAATCAACTCCACAGGAAGACTAGAACTATACTTGAGATAGGCTGTAACAACAGGATCTTGCAAGTCTGATTGTGCTAGACCTCCTCCTCCTCCTTTTTGAATAGTGAATTAGGGTGGTGTCTGCCTGAGTGGCTTCTAAATGTTGTTTCGTTGCTCTGGACTTAATGTTTCAGCCCCTTTTGCCTAAGTAATGGTTCCTGCCTATTTCTGTCAAGGTCCTCTCTTTTACTCTTTACAGTTAACTCGAGTACTGTTACCAGAGGAACCAGTCTTGCAGAGTGGGCTGCCTCATCTCATTTTCTCTTGCTAACTTGTCCCATTTCCCATCAAGCAGATCAGTGTCTTCCCTCTTTAAATCTTTTTGGGCTTATGCATCTGGCATTACGTATCTGGCTTGTACTTCACCTTATTCTGCTTTGGAGATCAGGTCAGCCCTAGTACAAGCAGCTCTAGCAGACAAGAAGCTGTGGGGATAATGTCTCAGTACCTTTCTGTATCCTGTTTTCTCCAGTTTACAATGGGCTTCCAGGTACCTTCCCACCCAGGCACTGACCAGACAGGTTGAGCTCAGCTTCAGTAAGATGGCTGCATCGTATGCCATCAGAATATGCCCTAGTATGATTCAGTTGTTATGCTTTATTTTATTTTATTTTACTTTATTAACACCATTCAACCCCAAGCAATATCATTTTGATACTGAAGCTGTAGGGTTGTGTCCTTTATATTCCCCCACTTCACCCTAGTTGCCTTCCTAGAGCAGGTAAAGATAAATTCTTCTCACTGGAGCCCACTTGTGTTTCTGCATGAGTTCTTGACATGCCTCCTGATTGGAAATAAGTGAGCTCAGGGTAGCTTGTCCTGTAGAGATACAGCTGGCAGCCTCAGTGGATGGCTAACGTAGGTGTGTAGGAACTGAATGTGTTACTTGTAGCTCACAGTATAAGGGTTTTTCTTTATAATGTGCATTATGGAAGATTGACCAGTTTCTTTTTCAAAAGTGCATAACCCCACTCTCAGGCAAGAGCAGGTGTTGGCAAGCCAAGGCCCTCCAGGTAGGGCTGCATCCTTCATTATTGGCAGTGCTGGCTGAGGTTGCTGGGACCTGTAGCTTGCAGCCTCTAGGGAGCCACAGGTTTCCCATTCCAGGGCGAAAAGATGTCAGTGGCACTTTTTCAACTTCTCTGGTTTAGAGTCTGCTCTGAGCTTTTTCTCCCCTCCTTGCAGGAACCCTGAACACGTTGATCAGACTTGGTGAGCATTTGCGTCAGCCTCTGTTGTCTGTCTGCATTTCTCCGATCACATCTCCAGACTAACATTTGCCTTTTTCCTCCCTGATTCCTTTGCCCAGAAGTCATAAAGTGCAAACAGCCAATAGGATGTTGAGTCCCGGCCTTTTTGTTTAACATTGGACGCTGCCAGTGTCTTACCTGAGAGATGTTTCACTTGCAACAGCAGATGGTTCGTTTACGCTGCTCCATCAGCAGATTATTTCGGTCTTGGTCTTGCTGGTATTATGGGCGACTGATGGTAGTTCGCAGGTTCTTGAACAATCACCCCAGAAAATCTAAAAACAAATAATAGAGTTACGGTTAGGGTTAGGGTTTTAAGCTTTAACACCAAGGACAAAACTTAGATAAAAAAGAATGATTGGAAGACAAAGCAATATTGTCCATAGAATCACCTTTGTTAGACATGTGGATTAGCAAGGACTGTGACTCTGAGAATAAACTTTAGGACTCTGGCAAAAAGAAAAAGTGAATGGGCATGGATCCTGTTTGGGGGCAATATGATCTCTGAGTGAGATTTGGACAGATATACCCTGGCAGAAAATTCCATAAACAGCCTCTGATTCTCAAAATAGCCAGGAGTTCCTCTCAGAAGTAAACTCTCGTCCTATAGCAGAGATTCTGCTGTGATCTTTTCTACACCTGATCCACAATGCTGGTTTGACTAGAGGGTTATTTTAGGATTTTGTTTGGGGTCATACTTCTCTCTCCCTCTCTGTCTCTCTCACTAAAGTTCCACTCCTACTGTTTTTGTTTGGTTCTGTTTTTCCCTTTCTAACAGCAGTACTGTTTTGAGTCCCTAGGAAGATTTCAGAATCTCCTATCCCAGTCTAGCTTCACTTTCCTAATAGAAAGATTACAGCTTGATGTTTGAAGGCTGCTTCACCTGGTGTCAGGGTGGTTGTTGCTTTTTTAAAGGCTCCCCTTTGCTTGCAGCTACATTAAAGATAACATAAAGCAGAATCGCATCCAGGTTCTGAAGCTTAGATCAGAGGGGCAAGTTGTTCTGTTGCATCCTTTTGGCCAGTCAGCTGCCTCACCTCTCTCTAGGTAAGCTGCGTCAGGTACTGATTAGGACCTTGGTGTGAAACGCGGAAGGTCTCTCTCCCTTCCTGCCTGCCTAGGTTCTGGGGGTGAGGAATTCTGACATAGGGACTGTGTCAATCGGTTTGAGAAAGTGAGGCAGTAAGCAACAAGGGTGCGGTTGCATCGGGTCTGGTGACCAGATGACCCCCCACCCCCCACCCAAGGTGCATGTGCTAGAACGCCCCTGCTGATTGACAGCTGACCAGTCTCTCAGCTGCTGCATCGCTCACATGTGGACTGTGTCTTGTTTTCCCTGGCTGCTTGCTGTGTGACTTTGCATGGCCCTAGTTGATTCACAGGCTCTAAGTGCTGAAGCCTCAATGGGCGACAGTGGACTTCCTCCGAGCCCTGTCATCTTCTCGGGTGACGTGATTAGCTTGTCATTGTCAGGATTGGTTGGCATCTAAGTTTGGGAATCCTCTGGAGGCAGAGTTCAAGTGTCCCATTGCACCCAACGCAGACATTTGTGATTCAACGGGGCTTTATAGAATATACCCTTTTTTCGCCCCTTCAACTCCCTGGCATTGCAGGAATGGCGCCGCCTCGTGGTCCATCCTGAAGAGAAGGAGCTTCAGCCTCTACTCCTGGTGTTATTCTTCGACAAGTAACCCAAGGGGGCTCCTTTTCTGCGTAATCAAACCGTGCGGTTCCTGTTTGAAAGTTGCGTTTCTGCATTGCAAACTCACGTTCCTGTTTTTTTCTTCCTGTTTCTGACCGAAGGAATTGTGGAAATGTGTTTTGCTCCAGCTGCTGTAACCAGAAGGCACCGGTCCCCAGCCAACAACTCTTCGAACCCAGCCGGGTCTGCAAAACCTGCTACAGCAGCTTGCATCCCAGTAGCTCCAGCCTCGACCTTGAACTGGACAAACCCATTGCTGCCACCTCAAACTGAGGCTCCAGCCTGGAAGGAAAGCTGGGACAGGACAAAGCTGCCTTTGTCCCTTAAGGAGACACGCCAATTCGTGGTGGACTGGAGGAGCTGTGCACTTTGGCGCTGGAAGTACAGGTTACTGCTCAGAGGGAGAGGAGGATGGGTAGATAGATCCTGGCGGAGCATTCCTTTCCCACTGTTACTTCCCGTTCCCTTGTCATCCTCCTTATGTACATTTAGCGCGGATTTTGCAGGAAGACTGTGGAAGGGGTCTAAGTCTGGAATCTTCCTGAAGGCGTCGAACTGCCCTGCTGTCGAACTGCACTGCAGGCAGGCCGTTCTCCCTTGCCGAGAAGAGAGGAAGGCGAATTGCCAGAGAGGTTGGGAATACCTGGAGCGTTAGGACTAGGGCTTTCAGTCACTCCTGTTACTTCCCAGCAGCCCCTTGCTGTTTGGAGAGTTGTTGCTGCTAGAAGAAACGGAAACTGCCTTCTCAAAAGAACTCTCCCCCTCTCTGTTCTCAAGAGTGGGGCGGGTTATTCCTGTTACACGAATGCCCGGGGTTGATTGGCAGATCCCCACACTGGGCAGTTCTCAGCCAGCGCCGGCCAGCTCGTGGCCAAGAGCGGGAGGAGCCTGGGCCACTTGGCTAAAGAAGATGCTTGCTTGCTCTGAGGGAAGTGAGAGGGGAAGGGGTTGTTTTAAACTGGCACCCCACTGTAAAATTCTGTACATCTGTTTTTATTTTTATTTTGTAAAGGAATTGGTGCCTAGGCTTGACGGTAGCTTTTCAAATGCCTCTCCTTGCCCCCATTTTAAACCTAGTTTACACAGAAAGTAGAGCTGCTTCACTGCACTCAATAGGCTGTGTGCAAAGTCAGATGGCCTAATGGCGTTGAGGTGTCCTTTTCACAAAACAACCCCATAAAGCTAGAGTGCGATGGTTTTACTTTGCTCTATAGCTGGTTAGAAAAGATGGGTTTGCTGGTGCCCCCAAAATGAGGTATTAGGCGAATGTATAACTTGGCCAGAACAAATTTAAAATGCTTTCCTTACAATAAATCAACTTTTTTAATGTCACCCCATCAACATTTGATAGAGTCCTCCTATTTTTCTAAGTTTTATAATCCCCCCCTCTTTAAAATATACTCAGCTTATGGTTTTGGAGGGGGAGGAAGAATTCTAATGTGTTTTGGAGAATTTATAGTCCATGGTAAGATGCCTGAATACATCCTCAGTATCCTCCTTTCTCTTTTCCCCTCACCTGCTTTGTCTTGGAGAATTTGGATTGGGAAATGCAATTCCTTTCTGTGTCACCATTTCAAACACCTTCCATATAATGCCTTCTCTGTGACATTAATTTTTACACATTACAGATCTACACACTATCCTTGAGCATCATGTGGGAAGTTCCCACACCCAGAACTGCCGTAAGTGCACAACCCTGGCATGAAGCTCTGTCTAGCGTGCAAGATCCATAAAGAACAAGCTACATAATAATGGGCATAGAATGAACGAGAAACACAACACACAGGCCGTTCTAAGCGTTTATACTGTAATAACTAGACTGGTCTTCTAAAGGGAAACTGTTTAGTGAACCTGTTGCCAAGGAGGAAATATAAAAGTGAGGCTGTCCAAACTCATGTTTTAGAAGTTTTAGTCTTCATACTGATTTACAGAGGAAAGATGTCGCCCGACTTCATTCTCGATGTTTCAGTTTTCCCATGTTGTTTGTGAAAGCTGCATGTGTTGTGTAGAACAAAATAATGCAGGGAAGGCATTTGAGAATGAGGATCAAAGTTCCAGGAGTGTGTAGCCAGAGGCGTTGCATCCCTAATGCAGCCAGGGTGTACCTTCTTGGCACTCCTTGTTTTCTTCCAACTGGGAGAACCAGTACAAAATTTCAATGTGGCTTTTTAATAATGAATGAAATACTCGGGGAAAATCAGCAGAGATACACAGTTCCAGGTTGTGAAAGTGGAAACAGGTTACTGAAGTGTCATACAGAATGCTGGCTAATCTATACTTTTCCAATAAAATTGGTGTGTAGAGAGACATTAAAAAAAAAAAAAGAATAATAAAGGGGAATGGTATTGTGTGATGCACTGAGCCAGTGTGATTTTATGGTACAAACAGATGATGAAAATAAGGTCTAATGTTCAGCAATTCATACTAACAGGTGCCAAGAGGTTCCGATACGGGTTTTGGGGGTCTGTGATGTACAGTGTGAATAAACGCTTGCAGCTCTTAGTCTTTTGAACCAATGAAGCACTTTTTTTATTAATATTTTTCCCATTGGATGTGAAGCAGGAAACCTGGCTCTGTGCGTGTGTGTGAGTGTGTGTGCGCGTGCTACATAGATCTTCTAAAGAGCAAAACTACTTTTATATTTTTCATTTTTTTGTCAAATGTAGACTTAAATACTCTAGAATGATTAAATATATAAATAAAAGTGAAATAAACTTTAGAGTTTGTGCACAGGAACAATTGTTGACCTACTTCCTAATTTTTATCTGCCCCAATCCTTGTTTTGGTATTTCCTCCTGCTGAAATAGATCAGTCTGGAGGTTTCTCTCTTCCTAAGATTTCCCTTAATTTCAAGGCCATCACATTTAAAAGCTAGCCAAATGATTTTATTCTCCCAGATAGCTATAAGGAATACTCTTTATATTGCTTGAAGACTAGACTAGATTCCAGTGCATTTCTAGTTCTGGAGCAAGTTAGTAATCTTCACTGGGAGTCAGTAAACTATCTGTTTTGGTACCTGTTAATCATCTTCCTTGCAAAGTTTGTGGAATTTAAAAATTTGGTGTCCTCCTTTGGGACTGAGGGCTGGAGAGGACTGGAATCAGTTTCCTGAGAATCTTGAATGTGGTTTGAAAAGGCACCCTCATGAGGTTGAAAACACTAAAGTACACTCCTGTGAAGAGATAATGGTATATCCTATATAAGTACACTGCAGCACTTTTCTGTATTCCCAGTTAATTGTGCTAATCACTCCTTACACAGTTGGTTTTCTCAAGCGACACAATTCATATATCTTTGAATAAACCAAGAACTCTTTCTGGCCCTCTTTTTATTTGTTCTATTTGGCAAGCCTCATTTTGTTTAAAGCCTTCCTTGCTGCCTCCTCTGTTCAGTCTGTAGAAACCCTTGCTTATGCACTAATGCGAGACTTTGTATGAATGTGTGGGTTTGGCAAGACTCACGTGCCAGAACTCTGCAGTCATCTTGGAATTCCACGGCAAGACCAACATAATCAACAATCAATTACTAGGTGCCCTGCCTGGCTGGAAAGCGTGGTAAGTCATGGAAGATCTTATGAAACTTTCCTCCAGGCTGTTGGGCCAGGTAATTAGGCGAGTTCTATTGGTGATGTGGCTTTTATTTTGGGGGGTTGTTTAACTGGGGTGTCATGGGTTTATATTGCTACAATGGTTTTAAACTTTGTATGCTGCCCAGAGTCACTGCTGTGAGATGGGCAGCTCCATAAATTGTACAAGCCAACCAGCTAGCTAACTCCTGGAAGCGTGGGTGGCAACCAAAGGCTTCCAAATGGGAAATATGGTATAATGAACGACTGAGCATTCACAACAAGTTGTGCTTCGTGCTGGTGTACTCACGTTAACTGAATTCATAATTTAGCCTAGCTAACTTGTATCTGTTGTTTTAACTATTCTAGAGGAATATCCTTTTGGAAAAATTGGCCTCAGTATCTTTCATTGTTTTCTTTAACGGTGGAAAAGCTCATGTGTTCTGCATCTCCTTCTGAACAGTAGCCAGTCAAGTATCTGTAGGAAGCTGCCGAGCACAGCCTGAAGGCAGTTGTGCCTCCTCACTCTTGGTGTTCGGTACCACATCCATTCTGGCCAGTATCCATGGATAGTTTTATCACCCATGGATTTATCTAATCCCCTTCTAAGTTAGCCCTCGCCAAACAGAGGCATCCATTTCCCCTCAGCTCAGCAATTAAAAGCAAGCCACTGCAAGCAGAGCTCTTGATCCTCCACCACCCATATCTGCAAGCAATTCTAGTAATTTGGAACTCGCTTCATCAGATCACCTCCAGTCTACCCTTTGGTTTGGTTGAGGAATACATGAGGAATTCAGGAACTCATCTCTTTGAAAAGGAAATCAACACAGTGGATCTTCATGAAAAAATGTGGAATCTGAAGTCAGAACTTCATTTATTTCTATGGAAATGAAGTTAAATCCTATGAGAAAAGGTCTGTTGCACCAGGCTAAACAGTGTCTACTTCAGCCTCAGCTAGCCAAATGGTTTTTGAAAACAGAGCAAATGCACTATTATTTGATCTCCAGCTATCTCCATTTGGTTATTGTAGTTCACATTCCTGGTACTAGTTAAAATTGTTTAAATTTTGAACTGGAAAAAAGAAAGGTTTACAACTGAACTGCTTTGAATGTTTCATTACAATTGTATTCGGTTAATTGTATCTAGCTGAAATGCTAAACAGAAGAGATTGAAGGCTACCAGCAAGCGTTTACTACTTATGCCGCTACATCCAATTAAGCATAAAATTCTTTACTTGGAATAGAAAACTGGAGAACGGATCCTAAATAAATATTGATTTGAGTCTAGGTTAATTGTTTGCCACTGTGTAGAGAGCAGAGGGAATGGCCTTAAAGGACAGAAAAAAGAGCCACCACCCAGGCAGATAAAAAAGGCCTGAGCCAGGGCCAAAATAATGTGAGTAAATGTCTCAGTCGAGCCTCCCTAGTTAACACAAAGATAAAGGGAGGGGGAAAGAAGCTTCCTCAGATTTGCAAGATTCTGTTGCTATAGCCTTACCGTACAAGCAGTATAGATCTACATGGCACTGGT